TTAAATGAGGTGAATACATAATGGCCTCACATGATTATATTAGTCCTTATTGATCATTAATTATAAATCATCAAAGTTATAAATAGTGCATTAGTTAAAGTAAAAGTGACCAACGAACCGTGACGGCTAGGTCAGACTAGGTGATTCTAGGGTTATGTTGAGGTGACACAAGACTAGCAATGTAAGGGATGGAGTGGGCCGAGTCTCGAGATAGGCTGAAAAGGGTAAACTAGGTAAGGGTCGGTTTGTGGGTTGTAATACGTCGAGTTGTGTTAGGGTGGGTTAGTGAAATAGGTGTGTCGAGGGTCTATGTTAGGGTGGGTCTGGCAAGTTAAGTAGGGTAGTTATGTTAGGGTGGGTCAAGTGGGTCTGGCAAGTTAAGAAGGGTAGTGGTTTTATTGCTTATGATTTATGATGAACAAAATTAGGCAACCATATATGATTTATGATTTATTGCTTATGATTTATTGCTTATGAAGGGTAGTGGTTTTATTGCTTATGATTTATGATGAACAAAATTAGGCAACCATATATCTGATTCAGGATTTCAAAATTGTTTTAATAAGTTGTTTTGATTTTAAATTTAGTGAGTAAGGGCTTGTTTGGTTTACCTTATTTTTTCTTATCTTAACTTATCTGATCTGGTTTGATTTGGGGCAAGTTCTCATACGTTGAAATCCAGTTCAGTTCAGTTAAGTTTAGTTCAGTTCAGCTCCTAATTTCCTTCTCTTATAAAATATTCATTTCAATTCAGTTAAGTTCAGTTCAGTTCGGCTCCGTTCAATTCAGTTCAATTTAGTTCATTTCAATTTAGTTCAGTTCAGCTGAATTCAGTCAATGAGACACATGTCCTTGATCAAAATGTTAAATTTGACCAAATTTTGATATTAAATATACGATAATCTATACAAAAACAATATATCAAGTGGGGTCTTGTTAGATTCGTAATAATATGTATTTTATTAATATGTGATTTTCATATATTTTTTTCATTATGAAATTAAAGATATTCAGCGATTAAAAAAACAGCACATAAAATAATGATCTGATGTTAACTTATTTTATAATTCGGATTTTATTTTTTGGATCCGATCCCAACTTTTTTTTTTTTTTTTTTTTTTGACAATGACTATAATAGATTGAAATCGCAATATATTGCAAATGAGATAATTTGATGAGGTTTTATTTATTTATTTATTTATTTTAAGCATTAGCGTACAATGTGTGTTAGTAAGCAGGAGCATAAAAAATTAGAAAGTATGGATCGATAAGATATAGTGAGGAATTTTATTACTTACCAATTACCATCCTATGTTATAACTTATAAGATAAAATTATTTTTTTTCAAAAAAGACTTTCCTAACTTTCAAAGTACTTTTCATCAAAAAAGAAAAAAAAAATTACATATGTCACCCTCAATAATTATGAATTTATGATACTGATATGTCCAATTTATATAGCGTTTTACCCCTGTCCCTTGGTTATAATTAGTAGCGTTTTTGGCCTTTTAGAGCTACTTTTATTACTATTTAGTGTGTTTCTAGTGTTTTTGTAGTTTTGCTTGAGTTTTGTAGGAAATTGCACATTTGGAGCGTTTTCCGGATTTTTCATGAAACAACTACGAGCATTAGGAGGACACGACCGTCTTTGAAGCCCATGACCGGTTAGAGCCGGTGATTAAGGGCTCGGTGTATGATACCGGGGCATTTGGACCGAGTATTCAAGACCCGAAGAGGAAATCCGGATTGGGCCGAAGAATCGAGCCTAATCGAAATCCAAGTCTCGAAGAAGAAGCCGGGTCCGATCAGGCAAGTATGCGCCCGATCGGGCGGGCACGCACAAGGATTCACCAGCAAGAAGGCGCGCCCGATCGGGTGAGCGTAAGCTCAATCGGGCGCGGCTGCCCAGGAAGAGCGAGGAAAAAAAAGGCGGGCCCGATCGGGCGACCCTTCGCCCGATCGGGAGCGTGTTTTTAGAGGACTCGATTGTCGAGATTTTTAGTTTCCAATTAGGATTTGTTTTAGGGATGTTTAAGTACGATTTTTGTACGTAATTTTGATTACCTTCTTTTAGACTTTCTCTCTCTACTTAGGATATTTTCTCTCTCTTAAATTCTCTCAACTTTGTTCTTAATTCCATTCCTTAATCCAGATTTCTTTTGGTAACAATTTCTTCTCTTTTAATTTCAGTTATTTTCTTAATTCTTTCATCATGTCATGTTTTATTATTTTGTTTAGTTTAGATTTAATTATGCTTGAGTAGATTTATTTCTAGGGTTTATGGGGATCTAATAAATAATATGAAGGGGTAATTTGTGATTGTTGATCATCAATGCTTGGTTAATTTCCTATTGATTGATTTAATGCTATGCAATTAGGTTTGGCCAGATTTAATTGTATGAGTTTAGCAATATTAATTCGAGATTCGAGAGATGAGAATTGAAGTTTAGGCTTACTTTCAATAGGCGGACTAATTTATAAATGGTTAAGTCGAGATTCGAGAGATGAGATTTAATACCGGTAAATTAACTCTGTGATTGTAATACGTAGCGAAAGCCCTTTATAATCTGATTAATTGATGCTTGATGATTGCTTATTATGATTTACCATGAAATATTGTTTATTAGTGAACCTATGCCCTAGGTTTTCCTTCATTGATTTACATCCCTTTTTATTCCCTTCCTACTTTTATCTTTAGTAGTTTAATTAATCTTTTACAACAAATTTGATTACTTGATAATTTAGATTGCTTATAATTAATTAGGAATAAATTGACTTGTTTCCCTGTGGTTTGACTCTTCTTCCCTATCTACATAGTTAGTGGATTTAGGTTTTATTTTTGATTAGGTGAATACGACTTGAGCCTGATACTCCCGCTCACCATGAATTATTTTTATTGTCACAAAAACACTTTTGTCTCAACCTTGTAATTTTTTATACTCCGTAAACACTCTACTAGGAAATACTCTCATTATAATTAACCAAAAACAAAGAAAATCATTGATTATCTTTCTTATTAACGATTACTTTTTAAATTTTTTTATTATCCTTAATTAAGTGGTGGCAATTATTTCTTTGTGTCTTGCACTCTTACCACAAACTCCATTTGAATCACGAGTAACTAATATAAAAAAAAAGTTAGATTATGACAGAAGTCAATAGTGCTTACGCGTAGCTACGACTTACGAGTGATAAAAGTTCAATTGCGGCTATGATATGCATCCACAAGGTCCACAAGACCACAACAATAATAGCCTTGGAAATTTGGAATATAGATCATGTAGATGTAGCATAGGTTAGTTTAATCATGTAAATATAAAAAACGTGAAATGTGTTTTTGGTAGTGTTTCATCTAATGGACATCACTACAATCATCATCTTTGCTCAAGGCTATAAAGTTGATTCAATTCTATCATGAATTTCCACTAACATGAGATTTATGTACTTTTTAAGTGTATTTTCAGTAAGGGCTATGTAAATCACATGAATACACCTTCTTAATAATACGGAGTAGTATTTTCATTCTTTCATGAGAAAGACTTTTTAATGTTATATTTATTACTCCTTTAAAAAAAATTACACTTTAGTATAATTATACTTATTTATATTTTTTATTCTCATATGATCTCTCTTTAGGGAAGTACTAAAAGTACATAAATATACGTGTACGTCATATTTATATACGAGTACATGAATAAGAGTTTTTAAAAGGAATCTGACTACTTGCTTGTATGAAATTGCTAAATGGTGACTTGCGTTTAAGGGCTTGTTCTCATACGTTGAAATTCAGTTCAGTTCAGTTCAGCTCAGCTCAGTTCAGTTCATCTCCTAATTTCCTTCTCTTATAAAATATTCAGTGTAGTTCAGTTCAGCTCCGTTCAGTTCAGTTTAGCTGAGTTCAGTCAATGAGAAAATACCCTAAGTTAAACTTAATACAAATATATCATATATTTTACCACAGAGTATCAATAATATTTTTAAAAGAAGCACCTTAATTATTTTTAATAATGTAGCTTAATTACTTTAGCTTTTTTGTAATTACACTAGAAAACTTATCATCAATTCACTATTTAGATCAAATTTTAGGGAATAAATTTCCTAATATTACAAAAATACAATAATAATAATGTCATTTCGAACTCAAAATATATTATTGTGAAATTGATGTAAGCAAGACATGTTACTTGATATAAATTATTTGTAAAACTATGTTAAGAAAAGAAGGCAATATCCAAGATCGATCTTGAGGTGGAAGTGCGCAAGGAGCAATGAATTAGTCTTTCCCCCCTTACATCTCACCAGAACACTTGATGACGAATTTATATGCTTAAAAAGCTTTTGTACTCCGTATCACAACTAATTGTTAAATGACTTAAATCACTCATTCAAAAAACTTATTGAAACAAGATCATTTGTAAGTTTGTAACAACCAAACATCACACGTACACATCAATCCATGAATGATTCAACCTTAACTCTCCTATATATAAGCTTTAATTTAATTTGACTTAATTCTTGATCTTAGTAAACATATTCAACTCAAATAAAGGATATCATACTACTAGTAAAAAATTTCAATTTTGACCACCAATCTCAACACAAGCTCATTGAATTCAATCCAACACCAACCCCCCCTTGAAAATAAGCAATTCATCACCCCCCAAAAAAACTGCTTTAATAATAATAAGACTTCAAAAGTATGATGAAATCATGATTTGGTTTCCCAATCATACTACACCCACCTAAATATAATTTTTTTTTTTTTTAAAAAAATGATGTTTATAAGTTAGGAAAAATAGAGTAATTTAACTCGGCCGTCCAAATTAGTCAAAATAAACGTGAAAAATTAAATAAAAGTCTCCCAATTCTCATTTCTCAACCGTGTCATATTACACGGCCTCTATCTCTCTCCTCTAATCTCTATATAGTCTATCGTGTGAATTGAACACTACAACTTTCACGAATTTCTGTTTTTTAGCAAGTTTTTAATTTCTTTGTTTGGTCCCCTTATTTTTTTTTGGTGGATCTATATTCTTCACAAAAATTTAATAAAATCTTCCAATTCCACTTTGCCAGATTCTTTATTATGAATGGTTGTACTTTAAATTCATAAAAAATAAATAAAATATAATTAACTAACTAAATAAATAAATAAGGTTGATTTCTTCTGGTTCATCTTGTTTTGGGAAAGAGAACTTCTGACCCTCAGACGCCTCATCCACTGTGGCATCCTTATCCCTCCATATCCCTCTATTTTCTTCATTTTTCTCTCATTAATTTCTCAATTACAAATTACTTCTATTTTTATCCCTATTTATTTCCCCCCATTTTTCTTCATTTTTTTCTTTCTCTAGCTTTCTTTCTCTCAAATTGGGGGGAAAAAGTTCTTGGGTTTTCATTTCTGGGTTTCACGCCAATATCTTGAATCCCATGTTAAAAAACCCCAAATTTTCTAATTTGGGGGAGATTAATTGGTTAAAGTTGTAATCTTTTGTGCAAATAAGTTTCTGGGTTTTGCTCAATTTGTTCATATTTGGGGTTGAAATGGGATTAACTGAAGTATTTCCAATTGGAGGAGGAATTTTTATTGAAATTATGCTAATTATTACTCCAATTTGGACTGCCTTTGTTCTTGGTCTTGTAATTGGATGGACATGGCGGCCAAAGTGGTGGGAGAATTTGGATAAGAACTTGTTTGATTCATTCCTATCAAAAATTGCGGATTTTCCAGCTCCTTCTTATTCTCCTATTCAGAACTTCACTCCTTTTAACTTCAACTTTTCAAGCTTAAAAGGGCAATCAGCTGGAAATGAAATTATTAGTGCAAATAATGAAACATTATCATTGCAACCCAGATTTGATGCCTCCAGTAGTAGCAGGTAATTTCAATCTCTGGGATTTTTTTGGTCTAATTTTTTGTTCATAATTTTGCTCCATTTTATTTGGAATTAGTGTATGATTATGGGTTTTTGTAGCCTAAACTTCATTTCATAGTTGAATGATCTTGTTTAAAGTTGTGCATGTTATATGTGTAAGAACTAAGAAATTTATATGTTGAGTATATATGTTGAGTATGTTAAGTTGTGTTATTGGGTATTATAATATATATTGGATATTTGGAAGTGAATAATAAAGATGGGGTTTTGGTTGTTGTTGTGTAGTTCATCAAAGCTTAAGAAAGGTGAAGAGAATGGTGTTATGAACGAAGGTGATATGGTACATCTTTTTAAGCTTGTTGAGGAGAAAGATGGAGGTCCTTCTTGGATACCAATGATGGACCGTTCAACCCCAACCATGAGATATCGAGCTTGGCGGCGAGACCCTGAGGTAATTTACCTTATAATCTAGGGATTTCTTGCTTGATAGTAGCTTAATTACACTGATTAATGGCATATGAAGTTAATTGTTTGTCGGCCGCCTTTAAGAAGATCATTGTTTGATTGTGTTAGCTTTGTAGTTATTTGGAATGGTTGATTATGAGCTACTTATGCATGTGAAGTTGAAGCCATTACAAAAAATGTGAAGGAATTTAAGTGCATGTGATTTTGAAGCCATAACATAAATACATAGGAAATTATTAGTGTATGTGATGGAGTTTCTAAATTTGACTATAAACTTATTGTGAAATTCATGTGTATGCTTTTGCTAGACCGGTCCTCCTCAATATCGTAGTAGTACAATCTTTGAGGATGCTACGCCTGAGATGGTGAGAGACTTCTTTTGGGATGATGACTTTCGACCTAAGTGGGACACCATGCTCATAGATTCTAAAATTCTTGAGGAGTCTCAAAGCACAGGAACTATGATTGTACAATGGGTTCGCAAGGTAAGAAAGTTTTTCTATGAATCGTTGTGGTGGAATGGCGGATTGATTTATCTGTTGCATGTGATTGACTTTTGTTATTTGTGTGTGCAGTTCCCGTTCTTCTGCAGTGACCGAGAGTACATAATTGGCCGTAGGATATGGGAGTCTGGAAGAACATATTATTGTGTGACAAAGGTACATATCACTACTTGGTAATTGGTATAATGTTTATCATGATACTACATATAGTTTTGATGTTCACATCTCTACAATTAGAGATGTTGAGCTCTCCCTCCCAAATCAACGTTGACAATATTGGCAAATGGCAATACATCAGTTCCTTTATACAAGGTTCCATCCTGGGAAAGGAAATTTAAATAATAGAGGTTTTCAATTGATCCTAATTCATTGTATGAAGATCAAATGTTATCTCACAATAAATAACAATAACATACAATTTAATGAGTCGTGCTCATTTAGTTGATCATAGTCTAAAAGCCAAAGAACAGTACATTATTGTGATTAATCCCTCTTGCTCTCATTTCCCTTTCCTTCTTGGAAGGAGACTAATAAAATAGAAGTAGAAAAAGGACAATGTGGGCTGCCTTTGTTGAGCTCTTTAAGTCTAAAAGGGGCATTTAATAAAGTGGAAAAGGACTTTGCATCATTGTGATCAAACCTCTTGCTATTGAAGTGCATTTCTTTTTCTATATAAGTTATACAAACACCACCTTTTTCATATTGTAATTTACTATGTATTTTCACATGCTCAACATTTGAAGCTCTATACTAATCTTTTTTGTTTTCATTTTTCTCATCAGGGAGTACCCAATTCTGTACCACGAAAAGACAAGCCAAGACGTGTGGATTTGTATTATTCGAGTTGGTGTATTCGCCCTGGTAGGTCTCATGGTTCCTATTTAAAATTTTCAACTGAGTTGTGATCATGAGTTACAGACTTACAGCCATTTAATACAGTCCTAAATACAACTATGGCTATATGCCAATTTTAGTACATACTCCGTATATAAGACTAGTAGAAAAGATGAACCTTTATTACAACTCCGTATCTTGTATTTTGTACTTTCTGCTTTATTTTTTTGTGAATGGTAAGGGTCCTGATTGTCTTTATGAAATTGTTTAAACAGTGGAATCTAGTCAAGGAACTGGACAGATGACAGCATGTGAAGTGCTTCTGTTTCATCACGAAGACATGGGCATTCCATGGGAGATAGCTAAACTTGGTGTACGACAAGGGATGTGGGGAGCAGTTAAGAAGATCGACCCTGGTCTACGAGTTTACCAGAAAGCAAGAGCTGCCGGTGGGCCCCTCTCGTCCTCCGCCTCCATGGCCCAAATCACCACTAAAGTAAACCCAACTTATTTAAATTCTTTGTTGAGTGGTGATGATCAGTCAGTGACGACTGAAGTAGCTCCTCCTGAGGATAAACAACAAGGAGGGATGAACGTGCCAAAACTCCTCATTTTTAGCGGGGCAGTTGCTCTTGCATGCAGTCTTGATCGAGGGCTTCTAACAAAGGCAGTTATCTTTGGTGTTGCACGAAAACTCGGAAGAATAGGAGGTAAATTATAACCGGAGGTGCTCTAATTATAATGAGGTAGTATTGACATTCCTGCATCACGTGATCGTAATATTCCTGTGCAGGAAGACAATCCCAACCCCCCCCCCCCCCAAAAAAAAAAATAATAATTGAAAAGTATAAAAGAAAAATCAAAATCCAGGAACAAAAGCTTCATAAGGCGATATCCTAGGGAGTTTTGCATGTTGTAGACAGTAGCATGAAGCTACATAAGCTGTACTTGAAGAAATTAGTAGATGATAAATTTGTATATCAGCAGAAACTCGTTCTCCTTTTTCTTCAATTTATTGCTGCTAGCTGAGTAGCCCATTTCTTATTATTATGATCTTGCTAAACAAATATTCATTCTGTCCATATATTATCATCAAATTTCTTTTGTTTTGTGTCAATTAATTTCTTTTGTTCTGTATCAATTTGATTTTCTCTGAATTCTGTTTGTTCTGATACTGATTGGTAAATTTGTCTCTGGTGTACTTGGCTGTTATACCTTTGGATTTATTAGCAATTTACCACTTTTATTTGTTTGATACCACATAAATTTTAGGGAGAGATTGAGATTGAGACTGAGATTGATGGATTAACTGTGATTTTAGCCTTTGGAAAAGTCCTACATAGTAACACAGGATTATCTAAATGTAGGGTTGTTAACAACTCAACATATGCAAGTGTTAGGGCTTGTTCTCTTCAGATTATTTTCAGTTCAGTTCAGTTCAGTTAAGTTCTTAATTTCTTTCTCACATAAAATATTCAGTTCAGCTCAGTTCAGTCAATCAGATTAGACTCTTACTATAGTATGTATCAACTAAGATGTTGTTCTCTTTACCTTAAGAAAAAATCATCTTAACCAGTGAAAGTCGGTTAGATAGTTGATTAGTATTGATGTTTTAGTCTTTTGTTATCTTGTCAAGATTTTTTCTTCTGAAAATGTTTCCTATTTAGTTACGGAATCATATATGCCATCCGAAAAAGAGTTTTCTGTATCGTCTGGAGAAAGCTTTCTCAAGATTGCATAGTTGTAATTAGGCTCTTAACTACCAGAACAATGTCACATGAAATATATGAAGATTCAGGTTAATATGTCTGAATCGAGTAAATATGCACTTTCTTAAGCTTAATAGTTGCAACTGGTGATGACTAGAGGTGTCAAAAGCACACTCGACCTGATTCAAAACCGATCTGAAAAATATCCGATTTAGATTTTGACTCGCGTGGACATAGTAATTTAGTGTGACTCAACTTTAAAAATTGACCCGATTCGGTTATCCGAATTGACACCTCTAGTCCGGACCGTTGTGAACCCAGACTATTCTTTTGACGATGACCTCCACACTTGATCAACTACACAGTAGGATAGAGACAGCATTTAACCAGCGGTAATTTGGTAAAGGTATACTACCTCCGGTCGAAATTACTCGCAACTTTGGGGTATTATTTGTGAGATATAAAATATTCCAAAGTTGTGAGTAATTTAGGCCGGAGGTAGTATTAAACGAAGTAAGTGTTTAGTTACATACAACTGTACCTCAGTTTCACATTAAGAAGTGCTGTAGTTGGGCCTGCATACCTTGGGCCTAGCCCATTAAGAATCCACTTGCCATGTTTCGTGCTGAAATTTTCTCAAGTACAGTCCCGAAATGACTCAAGTTCGATTCATGTGCTTGTGTACTGTGTAATGTCGTGCAATCGCGCATGCCTGTCTGAACTTAACTTCACTTATTTAATTTAGCATGCTTGGTAGATCTTATCATACTTCTCAGAAAATGTGACCCAAGCCTAGTCCATGGCTCAACAAGAATAGTGTTATGTCATGTTGTGCCTTTTCATGACGATCATACTGATATGCTACGGACTTGTCCAAAATAGAATTGTAAAATGTAAAGCACCCAAAATTTTAATTCCTTATTACTACGAGTAATAATTAAATTAGTTGATCTCCACATTGGTTAATTGTGCAATACTGGTGGTATTATTCTAATTAGTGAACACTAGACCCTAGTGTAGTCTACTACCTACACCCCCATGCAAAACGGTACCGTTTTACCCATCCTCCTACTAACTCCTCACTTCCCATATACTATCCTCTTGCAAGTTATTACAGTAACCATCTATACCCCACACACTACATTATGAAAAAAAAAAAATTGAACCACCATTCAAATTTTCTCCCTTCATTCTTTTCATTTTATTTCTCCATTTTCTCTCTCATCAAAATCTTCAATATTTGCAAATAAATTTCAGTAAAAAGTTATAATTCTCTATAATAGTCAAGCACAATGTCTAATATATGAGATAAACTTACACAATCGTTGGAAAAAAAAATACCAAAACAAAGTCGAAAATCGAAATTGTAAGTGTTTTTGTTGATTTTTGAAATGAAAACACAAGTTTGATGTCCTAGTTTTTTTTTACTGATTTTTGTTGGCAATTGTGTTTTCATGAAAATAAAATAAACATCCAGCTTGAAAATGTATCAAAGTAAGTATGATGATATAATTTTACTTATTTTTGTAAAAAAAAATAAATAAATTTGTGGTGTGTTATTAGTTTATAAAATTGCTGGACTCAAAAAATTAAAAAAAGAGTATAATTGTCGCAAATTTCTGGTTGATTTAATCTATTTCATATGAGTATAGATTTGTAAATTTAGTTCGTAGTGGAAAGTTCTATTTTTTATGAATGTTCAATTTCAATTCGGTAAATGTTCATTTATATATTAGTACGAAGTTATTCACATGTTAATAGACTATTAATATAATTAATGTTCATTTATATATTAGCACATGATCATTCACATATTAATGTTTGCTCTTTTTATATTTTGAAGTGGAAATATCTTTGATAAATGTTTATTTTTAATTGGTAAATGTTCAATCACATAATATTATATGATCAAATGCATATTAAGATACATTTATTAGAAATTTGATATATGATAAACATATTTTTATACTTAATTAAAGCACCCAATTATATCATTAAGTAGTTAATTTTACAAATTTAATAAGGAATTTCAATAAGAGTGTGTGCTATATAGCAGTTGTCATGGAAATGATTCTTACATACAATTACAATAAGGAGTGTGTGCTACCTTCAAAGTTTTTCAATAACAAGTACAAAAATTATAAATTTTATACATTTTTCATCTATGATAATGCTCCTTAATTAAATGTTCAATTATAAATAATTGTATGTTCATTTACAACTATTACATAAATATGTTGAGTTGAAATATTATATGTTCAATTACAAATGTTAAATAAATATTTTCATTTTTGAAATATTATATGTTCAATTATAAATAATTGTATGTTCATTCACAACCAATAAATAAATATGTTCATTTTGGAAATATTATATGTTCAATTTTAAATAATTGTATGTTCATTTACGACTATTAAATAAATATGTTCATTTTTAAAATATTATATGTTTGTTTATAAAATTATACGAGTATTTTGTTTATAAAAAAATTTAAAAATTATACACTTCTCATTAAAATCAGAAGCAAGCTTTATCAATGGTGATTTGAGCTTCTTTATATTTTCCCTGTTTCTTAATCCTTTGCACTTTCCCCCTCTAACCCACTCAACTAATTAAGCCACAATAACTATTGTTGCCTCATTGCCCCATGACCATTGTTGTCTCGCTGCCGCTGCTATAACCGCTGCCACATAACCACCATCATCTCGCCACCACCGCTGCCATAGCAACTGCAATTTGTTTGTAATTGATTCGAATAGGCTTGCAATTTGCTTATTGAGTTGATTTCTTGTGAGTTAGGATCATTAATTGCTTAGTTTTTTGAAACAAAGGATCATCAATTGCTTTATTATAATTGATACCATGGAAATCTCTTCACACTCTTTATTTTATACAAGCACAATAATTTTTACATGGAATTGAAACTCAAAACATTGAATTAACTTGCAATGGTATATTACAAAAAAGAAAAAAAAGAAAGTAAACACAAAAAAGAACAAAATGACGTCACTTGGGGAGGGGGGTGTAGGTAGCAGAAGCTATACCGGGTTGTAGTGTAAAATTTTCAGTATTATTCCATGTTATGACTTTATAAACTACAAATGAAAATTGTCCAAACTTCAGGCCCAAAGTAAGGCTAATTACGGAGTACGGAACTCAATCAGGGCATGATGAAGCAGTAAATATTGAATCTTTTGGGCTGATTATGAGCTACAATTAGAAAAATGAGCATTTTTTTTTTTAGAAAAAATAGATTGTACTCCGTATATTTTAGCTTATCATTCTCATCAAATTTGATTAGTATTTCCCCTACGCAATAAATACTCAACTCTTTAGATGTTACCTTGAGAACAAGTTCATGAACAGTACAATTTGTACCATACAATTGTTGGTATTGACATTTGACAATTTCGTATAAAACAAAATGAAAACCAAGAAATTAAACCTTTGTTACACGCTAATACATAATTAAATGACCCAGGTCACCACGGTTTCGTAGGAAATTAATTATCTATTTGAGGTACGTACCATGCACTTTGGCCTTCTTCATAGCTGTCTTTATTCAAGTGCCCAGTCTCACAAATTGCCAGTTGATTCCTTCAAATATCTTCACTAATGATGCAATTATAAGAATATCATCCTAGGCTAATGGTTGAGGCCTAGAATATGTTTTATACTTTATCATATCAAAGTAAATATTATGACAAATATAATGTACAGTAGCTAATAAATATGTTTAGCTTAGTCAAAGGTAAAACTTTATGTATTAAGAGTGCAACCACAAGGAGTAGTGATATAAACGAAATTTAACTGTATGTCTTGATATTATTTAACTAATATTATTATCTTATTTTTCATTGTTTTAATACAGTACAGTTCACGTGTTTTATATACTTCTTGTACAAACCTAATAGTTCAAAATTAGTTTTACAAGTATAATTCTGGTTATTTAATTTACATGCGGCATGAATTATAGTTTTAGTACATTCCAAATTAATTAGTTGTCACTTTACATTTATCAAACATATTTGGTCATTTGATTAACAAATCATGACCCGATAGGAAATGATACAAGAGTAAAATGATTGATGACTAACTAATTAATTAACAAATTATTTTACTCCATATTAAATTTAACTTTATAAGTTTCTATCATCAAAACCAATGACAATAATTAAGTCTCAAAATTATTCTACTCCATATTAAGGGTCTGTTCATATTTACTTAATTTCAATTCAGTTCAGTTCTAATCAGTTCAGTTCAGCTCCAATCAGTTCAGTTCAGTTCAGTTCAGCTCTTAATTTTCCTCTCTCATAAAATATTTAGCTCAATTCAGTTCAATTTAGTTGAGCTCCAATCAGTTCAGTTCAGTTCAGCTCAGTTCAGTAAATGTGAACAGACTTTAAATTTAACTTTATAAATTTATAATGAATTACATGTTGATAGACCATCACAATCCTAATAGACTCTTATTAGTATCATAATAATATCACATATACTTGTATGATATTGTTCTCAGATCATAATAACATCCTGTTATATCTCAATATATTCTCTAGTGTATTATTTAGATTCTTTAGAATATACTAATTCCTAATGTTTGGCCCGCTGTTTGCTTTATCGTTTTAACGTTAAAGAGTGGAAGAATTGTTAGATGCCTTGCGCCTAAAGACAAAGCAAGGAACCAAAAGTAAGCAAAAAATAGAACAAGTAAAAGGGACGGCGTCTATTATCTACTTTGTTTGACCAACTATTTTTTCCTATTAAAAACAGAAGTATTGGATGTACTTTTAGATGATAATTAAGTAGATAGACATGAATTATTGGTTTGTTGTTGACCATTAGTTGATAGATAAGTTATGATAAGTCAAATATGAGGTTTCTTTAATTATAGGCCTTAACCTTCCTCGGTGCATTTCATTCCATCATTTCAATATCCTAATATTCCAATGCCTTAACTATTTGCAATTTTGCATCATCATTTATCCATTAGATAATTCAATAATTTTATAAGAAGATATAGGAAGTATAAATTAGTGGAGAGCATTAGTTTGAAACCTCTAGTTAGAGTTTGTTCATATTTACTGAACTGAGTTGAGATGAACTGAACTGAACTGATTGGAGCGGAACTGAACTGAATATTTTATGAGAGAGGAAAATTAGGAGATGAACTGAACTGAATATTTTTATGAGAGAGGGATATTAAGAAATGAAATAAACTGATTGAGTTGAACTGATTGGAGCTGAACTTAATTGAATTGAATTGAAATTAAATAAATGTGAACATGCCCTTAATATGACTTTTAGTCAATGAACTAAGATCTTTAGGAGTGAGAAAAAGAGCAATGGGTCTTTACCCTCGAAGTGCCCTTAATGAATAATGAGTACTCAAATCTTACTTATATACCAAACGTAGCTATAATTCAGCATATAAGCATTTCATATATTTCCTTTTTAATATTAAGTTGGAAATTTATTGACAATTTACGAGTAAATCGGTTTAATAAATGTTTATTAGTTTAGGTGTAATTAATAGTATTATTTCTAGATTCTAATTAGAGTGTAATAAACTTTAGAATTATGATCATTAGAGAAATAACATCATGCTTTACTATCCAATTCTTTCTTTAATTTGAGCGATCCATAATTCCATATTGTTTGAAATTAAACATATCTTCTCAAGGTTAACATAAAAACTCTAACTAGGTTTAATTCTTTTCTTGTCATTCAATCTTAACAGTTTAATCTTAAAAATAAACTATACTACAACCAAGGTCGTTACTTTCAGGATTTCCCTTAAAAAAAAATAACAGTTTTTAATTAATATTTAATTTGATACTCTGTTTTGGGTTTGAAACAACAATAACAAACTAACTGATTCTTTCCCTCCAATTTTGCTTCTTCCAAAAGCAACCACCAAAATTATTCTACCTCGAATTTCGGCGAAAGCAAGAAACAGCGTAATTACCAAAAAGATCAAAGTAACAGAAACTCGATCTACCAAACCGATTTAATAAAATTAACCATAAAATTTTTAAATAAAGAGCAACAATAATCTTTCATATAGAATAATACAGTTTTATATACATTACAATTAATGAAATTAATAAATCGAATCATCTAAGATCTCAATTAAGGACTCAATTAAACCAATAAAATAAATCGTCAAAAAAAAAAAAAAAAACTACCAATTATTTGTAAATCATATCAATTATAACCCTAATATGATCGATCAGTACGGAACAATAGTCTCGAAACAATGAACACCATCCAATTCCACCGCAAACCGAGGATTCTTCTTGTTGTTATTGTTCATCGATTCCTTCTTCACCGAACCCGAAACTGACGATGAATTACTATTATTATCACTTCCATTATTATTATTATTATGATTGCTCTTATTCTCGACGACACTCGACGGATTCGTTGTTTTGGCCGTCGTTGATTCAGAAGAGATCTTCTGAGGAGTAAAATCGACGAGTTTCCAGCCGTACGATTCAGCGCCCATGGCTTCAAACGTACTGAATATTGATGACATCATCTTCAACAAATTGAGAAGTTTTTTTTTTTTTTTTTTTTTTAGTTTTTGGAGGAGAGAGAAAATAAAGATGGTTGAAAGAAAGTGGAATTAGTGAAACTTGGAGAAAAAGAAGGGATAAAGGGGTGGTATATATAGGGTTGAAAAAAAGAAGGATCTGGAAAAAATATTATAAATAAGGAAGGACGGTCAGAAAAGGGAAGAACTCGAAACTATAGAAAGTTTCCTGTTGTGATAAATATGTAAAATATTACGCGTAAAGTAGAAGCAGTCCAACTTTCAATTAAAAATTAAAAAAAAAAAAAAAAAAAAAAAAAAGGAATGAATGTTGTTGTTTACTTGTACTCGTATAATTTGTGTTGTCTTGTTGAGTTGGGTAAGCTATTGCTTCTTGATTGGGGTGGGTCAATTTTGGGTCTTTTGCTTTTTCTAGATTGATATGGAAGTCTTCGTGAAAGTTTCAATCTTGTCTTGGCTTGTTGTAAGAGTTGAAATTGATATATTAAGTGTAGAAGGTGACACTTAATCACTTATAGCCTTCTTATCTTGTCTTGGCTTGTTGTTTTCAATCTTCATATGCATGCCACATGTGTTAGGATGTTATTGAGATTTAAATTTTATTTTGAGAGTGAAGCATTGGTGCTAATTGTTGGTCAATTGTAGATGATACATATGCATGTACGTGTTTGTCATACGGAGTAACTTATTGATTATTAAATGTTCAAAATTTTTAAGTTAGACAACTACGGCAGACATGAAGTATTAATTGTACCAAGAATTGTAATTAGAGTATTTGACCATCTTAAACCAAGATGTAAGTATGTAACCAACCAAAAGATACCAAGAGAGAAGTATCAATATTCAATAAGGAGTATCACATAAAAATTGTGCGAGATGAGTACTTATTACGGAGTATATTCAAGTTAGAGATTAACATAACGAAGTATCTAGAAGTTTTAATTTGCTCACACACCTATTTTCAGCCTTAAGATTTCTTTATTAATTTAGGGTAATGCTATACATAGCTCTTAGGGCTATAATTAAACATTAAATTTACTCTTGAAAAATGTATAAAGTTAGGAATTCATGACAAAAACACGCGCAAATCGGTGTAATTAGTGTGTTTTTGTCATGAAATTCTAAATTTTTAACAATTTTCTAGAGTAAATTAAATACTTATATATAGCCCTAAGGGCTATGTATAGCATTTTCCATTAATTTAATCTCTCAAATAATTTGACATTAATGGTAATAAGTTACAAAGCATAAGTTTAATTAATTTAATGATTCAAATAATTTGACTTTAATGCTTACAAAGTTACAAAGCATAAGCTAAGAGTCAAATGACTTAGTCCAATAGCCAATTTAACCCCTCAATTGTCATTGATCACTGCCCTTTCCGTCCAAATGAGTAGTCTCTTTTTCACCCCCTTTTAAAAGTAAATTTAACTCCTTTAAAACTACGCGGCAAATTGGCTCCACTAGTTGTTACGGCTGGCTCATGCTAACGTACGCTACATGTGCGAGTGCAAGTGTGACGGTTGGATTAAATTAAAGAATTATTCATCTTATTTAGAATAATCAATAATGTTTTCTGTGTTGGATTTTAATACTCTCTCTTTAATGCTTATCCATTCATCTCGTATGTCATCTTATTTTATTACTTATACTTTTCTTCTACCAACATCAGCTGACTCTGCTTGACTATATTTAATATCTGACGTACAAATATATACAATTGGACCAAACTAAGATGATCAATCTTCATTCATTCTCAGCCTAGCATGCTTCTTTCATTGTTTATTTATTCAATTAAGTTATGTTATTCCATTTGTTTTAATTTTATGTATCTTTTTTTTTAGGAGAAACGTATGTATCTAGTACGGAGTATAATACGTATAACCAAATAATTATTAGCACGCAACAAAACATAAAAATAACGACATTTAAATCGAGACATTTATTAACATGTATACGAGACAATTGTGTTATTTTTTTTTTTTTGCTAATTTTAAGGTTAATTTGGATCTTTAAAGGCTAAAATAACCCTAAAACTTTAACCAAACAGTTTCGACATGAAAATCGAGACATTAGATGTTTAAATGGATACTATACTCTTCTCATTGATTAGTTAGCTTAATTTGCTAGTTATTTCCCTCAAAAAAAAAAATGCTAGTTATTAACGGTGTTAGGGCCTGTTCTCATTGACTGAACTCAGCTGAACTGAACTAAATTGAACTAAACTGAACTGAATTGAGATGAACTGAACTGAACTAAGCTGAACTGAACTGAATTGAATATTTTATAAGAGAAGGAAATTAGGAGTTAAGCTAAACTGAACTGAAATTTAACGTAAGAGAACATACCCTTAGTCATGACTGAAAAAGACTACAGCACGAAAATGCTAATAAAAAGAAAAAAAAATTAAAAGTACATCAATGGAAAAAATCAATTCCACAATACCAATAGGAATTTCCCTAACTTTTTAACATCCCATAGTCTCCCATGACACCGACGCTAAGTTGCTGACTAGTATTGCACTTTGCACCTGTATTTGTTTATCTTTGGATTTGGATCCACAAATAAAAAATATTCATCTGGACAACGGCCCAATAAAGCAACCCTCCCTTAGCCCACTTTTACAAGCCCAACAAAAATACTAAAGTCATAAAATCCAACGTCTGACATGTACTATCCAACGGTTGTGATGAATTTATAAACCTCAAAAAAACAATCCACTTTAGACTCAGGTGATTTCCAGCGTCAGGTAGTAGTAGATTAATTTGCCTTTTTATTTCTTCACGAATTTCCCTATTGGTTAAAAACTCCAAAACGTACAAAATATCTCTAATAAAGCCACGTCATGGATGGCCCCACTAAACACCTCCCTTTAAATACTGTACGTATTATGTAACACTCCTCATATACAAACTCAAATCAAAATCAAATTTTACATACAAGTTTTTCAATTTCATTACATTATTATTTGGTATAAAAAAATTCATATTATTAGTTTCAAGTTTAATTTTATGCTGCTTTCATTTGTTGTAAATGTTATGAGCAACATATACATATTATACTACTACGTACAAGTACTAATTAATCACTGTTTTTGGTTGTTTGAGGTACTAGGACATCAATGGAGACCGTGACATCATCTCATTTTATTTCGGGTATTACCAATGGTGCTATGACGGGTTCAGATCCTAAGCTTACATTGATAAATAATGGCTTGAAGAACAACCAAATGATCGCGACTCATAATGGACTAAGATCATTGAAGAACAATGTAGATATGATAAAGTTGAGGAGTACCGCAAAAAATCCTACTGAGGAGCTTAGAAAAGAAAACTCCCCTACAATAAGATGTGGGATGAATTTGGTATTTGTTGGGGCAGAAGTTGCCCCTTGGAGTAAAACCGGCGGTCTAGGGGACGTTCTTGGAAATCTTCCCCCTGCCTTGGCAGTAAGTCTTTGTTCTCTTCACCTTAATAAATATATATGTATGTAAATTATTTGAATTTATCTCAACTTTATTACCTTGGCCTAATGTGTTACGCGTCTTTTAGGCTAGGGGACACCGTGTAATGACAGTCTCTCCTAGGTATGATCAGTACAGAGATGGATGGGATACTAGTGTTACAGCTGAGGTATGCATGCTCTATAATATAATTAGCTACATTATACTTATTAAGATGATTATTTGGTGTTATTGAGCATATTTCAAACTTTCAAAATATAAATTGCAGCTGAAAGTTGGAGATAGGACTGAGACAGTGCGTTTCTTCCATACCTACAAGCGAGGGGTTGATCGTGTTTTCGTGGATCATCCTGTTTTCCTTGCAAAGGTATTAGTACATTTCCATAGCACAACCATAGTTTTTACTTGTGTGTAATTAGTTGTTAAATTAAAGCCTTGAATTCTTATTTTTGTATGGTTGTGTATGTACTAAAACCATGTTAGGTGTGGGGGGTAACTGGATCGAAACTCTACGGTCCAGAGGCTGGAGAGGACTATAAAGACAATCAACTTCGATTTAGCGTGCTTTGCCAGGTAATTTTATCATTAATAGCTTAATTACATTGTAATGAGAAAGAAAGCATAACACCTGCGCGTTACAGGCAGCTTTGGAGGCACCGAGAATTCTGAATCTCAACAACAATCCACTCTACTCTGGACCATATGGTAAAATTCTTCTCATTGTTGCCAATTGTTAAACGTTTTCGTGCAATGTCTAGTAATTTGATAAAAAAAATGCTCATTATGACTTGATGCAGGTGAAGATGTTGTTTTCATCGCAAATGATTGGCATAGTGCTCTTCTCCCAGCATACCTCAAGAGTATGTACAAACCCAGGGGAATCTACAGAAATGCTAAGGTAAGTCTTTTTACCTAGGGGTGTTTTCTTGGTTGTACTTTGTAACGTTTTCTTGAACGAATATTCATATGTTTGAGGGGTTCAGGTTGCTTTCTGCATTCACAATATGGTATATCAAGGAAGATTTGCATTGGAAGACTACTCGCGTCTTCATCTACCTCAGGAATTGAAGCCAGATTTTGACTTTTTTGATGGGTAAAGTATATTAATTACCTACTAAATATCGCATTGCACGGACTAATTACTAATTTACTAGTCCAAAATTAATGTTATGTGCATGATACAGGCACAACAAACCTGTAAAGGGAAGGAAAATTAACTGGATGAAGGCAGGTATTTTAGAATCAGACCGTGTAGTAACTGTGAGCCCTTTCTATGCACAAGAGGTTGTATCGAGTGTTGAGAGAGGTGTGGAGCTCAACGATGTAGTTCAGAGGACTGGAATCACTGGCATAGTGAACGGCATGGATGTACTGGAATGGAATCCAACTACTGATAAGTACATTGGATCTAATTATGATAGATCAACTGTAAGTAAGATTTTTAAAATGATTTTTGGTTTTGTAGACCTTCATGAAATTTCCTAATGTGTATAGTTTGCGCTACTTTCAGGTTGCATATGCAAAGCCTCTTATAAAGGAAGCTCTGCAAGCAGAAGTTGGTCTACCTGTGGACAGGAATATCCCTTTGATTGGTTTTATAGGCCGACTTGAAGAGCAGAAAGGTTCTGACATTCTTGCAGAAGCAATTCCTCAGTTCATTGGCCAAAATGTGCAGATTATTGTTCTTGTAAGAACAATCTTTACCTCAAACACGCCTTTTATCTCTTCACCTAAGACCATTTTACTGAATTTTTTTTCATGGTTTTGTTTTTGGGAGTAGGGGACTGGAAAGAAGGAAATGGAGAAGCAGATTCAAAAGTTGGAAGCTCTCTACCCTCAAAAGGCGAGAGGAGTGACCAAATTCAATGTTGCCTTAGCTCATATGATTGTAGCTGGTGCTGATTACATGCTGATACCTAGCAGATTTGAGCCATGTGGGCTTATCCAGCTTCATGCAATGCGTTATGGAACGGTTTGTGACAGCTTTATGCAATGAGTTATTCTATTCTTGATGCTTTTTACATCAATGAACATCATACCTATTCTGATATTTCATTGATCAGGTGCCACTGGTGGCCTCAACTGGTGGACTTGTCGATACTGTACAAGAGGGTTACACCGGATTCCACATGGGCCGTTTCAGTGCAAATGTAACAATCACTACATCAAAAAAATCATTACATTTCATTTTGTATACTAATTAGTCTAATGATCATTTCTGTACTCTGAAGAACTGACATTTTGGTTCACAATGGTCTATCAGTGTGACGCGGTGGATCCAACTGATTTACAAGCTGTTGTAACAACAGTGAAGAGGGCAATAGAGACGTATGGAACTCCAGCCTCAAGAGAGATGATCCAAAACTGTATGGCACAAGATTTCTCATGGAAGGTAGGCTGTATGATCTGCTCCCATTTAAGTGACTTAGTACACTTTTAGCCAAGTTAATCTCATTTGTCATGATGCTAATTAATTTTTTGTTCATGAGCAGGAGCCTGCAAAGAAATGGGAGAACCTGCTGCTGAGCCTAGGGGTTGCTGGCAGTAGACCAGGATTCGAAGGAAACGAGATTGCTCCTTTTGCTGTGGAGAACATTGCAAATCCTTGATTCATAGATGGTGGATCACATCAAAGAATGATCAGCACTTTTGTGGAATACTCATATGGCTGATATTTTTTTTTACTATATTTTGTCTCAGAATTCAATAACTCAGGCAATGTTGCCTTCCGTATAGACTTCTTCGAATTGTATGACATTCATGCTTGTTTGATTATTAATGTGTCATGAGTGCAATAATATAAATTTGAATAATATGTTATTAGTGTGTACATAACATTTTCAGTACAACAAAACTACACTGGTGTGACTTACCTTTTTTTTTTTTCCAGTTGAAACTAATTGATCTGGACTAGAACAAGCAAATACAAATTTCCAAATGTTTTGAACGAACAGTATTTTAAGAAAATCTCAAAGCAGTGGCTCAACCCTCAAGGCCTCAAATTGCTAGCAGTTTTAACAGTTTATATGGACTATGCTTATTAAGTAATTAACTGCATCATCATAGTACTGACCAATATTAACTGCTCAGTACTAGCAGTCTACTGTTAGATTAATTAGACAAAATGGGTATTAGCTGCTCAACAAAGTTGACCATTTCAAACCAGGACTTTTCTCTTATTATATCCAATTAACAAGTGTACAATATCTAGAGCTTGTACATATTATTACAACATGCATAACTTATTAGACAGATGTCATTCTACCTCCAATAAACACTTTCTGACAATTCGGCTTCTGTCTGCTGCATCATCTCTTCTGATTCAGAAACAGGCTACAGGTGAAGAATGGTGAGTACTTATATTTAACAGAAATTCTTTAGTTTAAGATTCAATCCACGAGTAGAGAGGACTCTTGGGTACTTTAACCAAGTGCAGGTATACTTTTTCCCAGGTGAACAATAGAATCTGCTAAGACATATACTAGTACTTTGTGTGTGGCTATTATTTTTAAGTAGAGAAGTATCTGACTTTTGAGAAACAAATTTCAGTCTAATTGTACTTCCTAGGTTATTACGGCAATTAATAGTATTTAGTATGTAGGTATAGACTATGGACAGTGACTTTAAACCTACCGTGCTTTAGAACTATTCTGAATTATTCCACCATTGACCTGCTCATCAATTAATTTTAAAGATGATGTGTTTTCATAACAATCAGGCATAAAACATAAAAACAATCGTTTCACAGGTCAAAAGTCCCCACAGTCCACTTAATCTGTTAACTAGTAAAGGCGCCCTTGAATATCTCAAGAACAATAGTTTTGGGTAGATTTCACAACCAATGGGTCTGAGAAAAGAAAGCATCTTCCTATATTTTTGCTTCTGCTGCTGCATAATCTCTTCTTATTCAGAATCAGACACTCTGAAACAAGGTCATCAACTCAAGGATGGTGAGTACTTGGTTTCAGCAGGCAAAGTATTCACATTAGGATTCTTCAACCCACAAGAAGAGAGGGTAATCGGATACTTTAATCCAGAAAATACACAAAACTGCTACATCAGCATCTGGTACACTTACGATAAATATAAGAGGCCAGTATGGATTGCAAACCGAAACAATCCCATTTCTAGGAATTTTGGAATTTTGGAGCACTTGCAATCAACAGCAACGGTGAATTCAAGATATTAGATAGAGGTTTGACACACATGTTGTTGAAGGCCAATCAAGGAGCTTCCAGAAGAGTGGCAGTGCTAACAGATACCGGCAACTTTGTGTTACAAGAGCTGAATTCAGATGGCTCGGTAAGAGACAAAAAACTGTGGCAGAGCTTTGATTATCCAACTGACACACTTCTTCTTGGTATGAAACTGGGATATAACTTCAAAACTGGGAAAAATTGGGCATTGACCTCATGGGTAAGTGATAAGTTTCCTGCAGCAGGGCCTTTCACACTCGGTATAGACCCCAACGGAACCAGCCAGTTGATCTTGTGGATAAGAAAGGATATTCAATGGAGGAGTGGCATTTGGAACAATGGGAAATTCCCAAATCTCAAAGACTACCTTTTTAGGTTCGATTATGTCTCAAATGATGAAGAAAAATACTTCACCTTATCTGCTGCAGAGAACGCCTGGGATATCGATTTCCCAATGTATCATATAGATAAGGAAGGTGCAATACTTCATTATGACACCTCGACATCAGACAGATTGGAGTACAGCCAGTACTCGAGATCAGGATCAAATATACACAATTCTCTGACCACTGTTGTTGACTGCAGAAAGGCCAAGAGCTACGAATTCTATCCTGGATGCGTAAAGCAGCAGCTTCCAGAATGCCGGAATAAAAGCTGGTTTGACAGTACCCAGGGATATGTGTTATCTGAAGGCACCAAGTATGAAAAAAGAAACCAAATTTTTGGTGTGGCTGATTGTGAGGTTAGGTGCTTGAGCAACTGTTCCTGTGTTGCTTACGCTTTCATCTACCCCAATCGTACTGGATGTGAGCTCTGGACTAACAATACTCAGTTGCTAGAAAATGGACAGGCATACTCTTCTCGCAGGGAGTTTTACATTCAAAGAAAACATTACAGAGGTAAAACTAACATTCTCTCAATCACTTTTTAAACTTTCAGCATTAAGAAAGTAGGAAGGAGATGAAATTCTCCTGCAATTTTTTCTAGTCTCTTCAACTGTACATGTTTTTCTGAAGGAAAACGTCTTTTAGATGCTACAAAAGTGTAGCTTAATTAGATTTGGTTTTGTTACAGAAGAAAAGAGGTCGCTTTTGTGGTTGTGGCTTATAATAGCAACAGCTACCTTTCTGCTGCTCCTAGCATTATCATGGATAGGATATCGCAAGCAAAGGGCAGTGCTCAAAATAGCACGATTTTTTAGTCTGTTAGGTTATGTTGTACGACGAAACCTCACAGCATATCTTCAACATTTATATGATCGCCTTCACAGAAGTCTCGAAACAGCTGGTAGTTTCTGAATCACAAACAACCCACTAAAATCTTACAGAACTATGTGCTCTACTGATGCAGCTTTGTTTTATTTCCATGCTACACAGGAGTAAGTCAAATAGAGGAGAAGATGTCACTTACAGAGGTAGGTTCCAGTGTTGGACACTCCAAAAGATTTCGAAGGAAAAGAAAGCTCACCATTGGCAAGAACCATGGAATTCACGTGTTCAGCTTCGAAAACATAGTTCAAGCAACTGATAACTTTTCACCTTCAAATAGGCTTGGACAAGGAGGATATGGGGTAGTATACAAGGTAATTAAAAGTTCTGAATGCTCCGTTTATATTTTTCTTTTCAAGTTGAAGCAGTGAAACATTTGCACTAAATATATCAGGGTACATTAGCAGATAACCAAGAGATAGCGATAAAGAGACTGTCAACAACTTCAAAGCAGGGCAGATTGGAGTTCATGAATGAGGTTAAGCTTGTTGCCAAATTACAACATAACAATCTTGTTAAGCTCATAGGATGCTGCATTGAGCAAGGAGAGAAGATATTGGTATATGAATACATGGAGAACAAGAGCTTGGATTATTTCCTATTTGGTTAGTGATTTAAACAATAATAACTACAGATTTCCAGTACTTTGTAATTGATTCATCACATTTGTAATTGACAGATTCAGACAGAAAATTGCTTCTTGACTGGAAGATGCGTTTCAACATAATCGAGGGGGTAGCTCAAGGACTCCTCTACCTTCACAAATATTCACGACTGAAGATTATTCATCGAGACTTAAAAACAGGAAATATATTACTTGATCAGGAGATGAATCCAAAAATTTCAGATTTCGGTATGGCTAGACTCTTTCAGCAGAATGAATCAGGAGCAAATACCACCAGATTAGTTGGGACACTGTAAGTTAAATGAATACACCAATGCATGAATTTTCATCTCTTTGAGGAGAAAAAGAACCATGAAAGTTTTTTTATTTTCTTCTCTTGGTGCAGTGGTTATATGTCACCAGAATATGCAATGGATGGATATGTTTCAGTCAAGTCTGATGTTTTTAGCTTTGGGATATTAGTGTTAGAGATAATCAGCAGCAAGAAGAACAATGACTCTTACTGCTCAGACTGCCCACTCAACCTTATTGGTTATGTAAGTTCCCGACTAATCATGTGAAACTCAAGCAATTATACAGACTCAACAGATTTACTTGCGTATTTTTATTTGTGTTCTTCAGGCATGGGAGCTGTGGACAGATAATAGAGGTTCCGAGCTGATTGACCAAACCTCAATTTTGGACAATCACCACCAAGAAGAAGCCATGAAATGCATTAATGTTGGTCTCTTATGCGTGCAAGAGAACCCTGCTGACAGACCCACCATGTCGACTGTTGTAACTATGATCGCCAATGAGGCTTATCAACTCCCTAAACCTAACAATCCGGCATTTTTCATAGGTAAGGGTTTATCACAGGCAGAGCATCCCCAATATGATCTAGAGCAGGGTTCCTTGAACAGTGCATCAATTTCGGAGATAGGAGTTCGATAAACCTATGCCATTCAACTTCTACTTTGTTGATTGTTCAAAATGTTAATCTAGATTGACCAACTATTTGTTAATAATTGCAAGGAACCTCTATCGACTTGAAAATTATGTAATAGTCAGATTAGTCACAATATTGCCATACTCTAAAATTTACCCCCCTGTTCTTGTTTAGGATTTTGCAACCTATTCAAAATAATCCCATAATATACGCACGCGCAGGGGCATAATTATGTGAGATTTTGTTTAATTCGTCTCATAACTAAAGATAGTAGTAAATGGTTAAAGATGAGCATTGAAAAACATACATAATCAAAACAGTTTATCAAAAGGAAACAAAGAGAACAGTTGTTATAATAGAGAGAAACAACTTACACGCTCACATGCTCCACTGGTCATAAAAAGAAACATTTCTCACAAGGACATAGAATTGTTTATAAACTTTACTAGTCTCCCAATAATAAAATCTTTATAAATCCAGCAAACCAGATTAAAAAACTAGAAGCAAAACACACTAAGCAGCAATGTTCTTAAAATGGACTCAGCATAATCTTCAGACTAAAGAGCTACTAAAAGCACAATTAATGTCTCCAAAACTGCCTCACATGTCTATTTTTACAGAGTTCCAATAGCCATAAGGGAAACATTTTTTATACTAGTGAAAAGTTCATGCAATACTAAGTATTTGCCTAGAGACGCATCAGAGGCGTACTCGTTAAATTGCTGCTGGCAGGGCAGAGAAACTGGTCTGACCCAAGTGCTCGACTGTTAGATAAGAATTAAAAAGAGAAACTCCATCAAATTGGGTTAAGTGAGGACATATAAAAGCTCAAATATC